TGAATGTCTGGAGGTGTAGGCACCTCGGAATGATTGTGTTAAGCTAGCACTAAGTCCCTCCCCCATCCACCTTTATTCTTTTCTCTACAATGTGGCTTTCAAATAAGTCATGGCTGTACGGCAGTGAAGCATTGGTGTTGAGCACTGATGTCATGCTGTCGATGATGGTTAAAAAAACTTGTTGCCCTTATATAATGCATAATGAAAACCCTACCCGATAAATCATTTGTTACGCCCTTACATTTCAAAATGATCCGTAAGTCAAGGCTGTTAATAAAGTTTTAATTTATCACTAAACACAAGCACCAGACGGATTGTATGTTCTCCCTTTTTGGCTTTACACTCTTGCCCGTCGCGTCACGAGGAAAGTACATTTGTTTTCAGTTCACAAAAATATATAGGCAGTCATGGGCATGATAGTTAAGGCTTATAACGTTTCTTGAGCACAGGGTCTTCTGTGGGCAAATCGCCCAATGTCTGTAAACCATAGATGCTGTAGGTGGTTGTGAGATTTGTAGAATTTAAGCTCACATAATTCCCGTTCAAACAGTGATTTTCCAGTCCTGGCTAAATTATTTTGTTGCGTTTCTGCGTATAAAGCATAAAATCTTGTTCTTTGAGAAAGACTCAACTGAATCTCCCGCTTATGATATTCTACAAACTTGTGAGTGGTTTCCTTTATGCAAATATACTCCGATGTCTCGAATATCGTGCCAACTGAATCATGAGGCAGCGTGTGTGCAGCACATTTAGTTGTTGAATACCACAAGCGAAAAATTCAGTTGAGTCTCTCGTGAAAATCAAATTGATTTGAAAATGAGTGTATTTCTCGAAAACAGTGCAATTTGTGTTCAAGTGAAATATAAAGTTGACGGAAACTAGGAGACTGCGCCTAGCTGATGAGCCCCAAGAAGGGCGAAACCGGTTGTGGGCTGTCGAAGAGTTTTCAGCAAACTTGTGAGTAGTTTCGTTTGTGAAAATCTTGTTCTTATTTAACGGATATTGTTAACCCGGAATGCCTTCTTGTAGTTAACATGAAGGTATTACAACTATACAGAAATTTCAGTGGACATTGAAAACTTGTCGGCATCGATCGACTGTGAAACAATGGTATATTTTACACAGTACTTGTGAATCTTTAAGATAGACTAATATAAACTGATAAGCTTTTGTGCGTTTCTAGTATGATTGGACTGGCTACGTGAGCATGCAGTAATCAGCAATTACTCTGCTTAAGATTTAGTTTAGCATGCGATGGTGCGCTCAGATGGATTCTGTCGTATGATATAAGTCCTGCAACGTGCAAACTATGCGGCTAACATTGTGCCAGACTCGGTACACAGACCATACAGATATTCACTACAGTCTAACGAAAGATACAATTGGACGAAATAGACACATTCACAATATGCTTCATTTCAGATCAATAAACTATTTTTGAAGCACTTCGAATGCCTTAATGTGCCATTATGACGGGACAGTTGCCCAAATTATGGGACCATAACTCACTTTTATTGATCTGACGGTATTTATTGACAGTGCAATACTTAAGCAGATAACACTTGACTTTCAGTTTTAAGTAATGCGTATATTGAGAGACTAACGGCCAGTTATACTTGGATTGCAGTCGATAGCACTTACCATTTGAATCCAGTGGAAGTAATCCAGAAGCATTTCGAACCTCGACAATAAGTTCCGAGTGTTGAAGACTGACGCTTACGCTGAGTGTGCCGTAAGACGATCTGGATGTTTTGTCCTGCAAACGAAATAAGTTGAAATGCAGAAAAAGATACTGTAGGCGTTTGGTGCATTATTTATTTTATTTTATTTATTTTAGAAGAAATAAGGCATTATTTGTACTCATAAGAACTCAGGGGATGAAAGACTTCCATGAGTCTTCGCTGACTGCAATAAAAGCGCTTGCATAGTTGTTTTTTCTCTAACAAACACGTTAAGCATCTTCTATTTCGCGACAAAATTACGTGACTTAGGCCATCACAGTTGTGTGTTTGTTTCCTGGTTCGCTCAGTGTTTGTTTTATAGATGTGCACGGTTCTACTGTCACATTCAGAGAGGTAACGAGCAGGCAGATTCTGAAAATATCACTTTGAAGTACAATACGCTAATGAGGCTCATGTAACAGGCGGGCCTGTTTGGCTTTAGTTGAAATTCCGCAGGCGTTAGGACCAGCGGAAGCGAGTTAGAACACAAACACCGTGCGTATTGAGAACTAAGGGACTTCGAGTATAGTTGTTAGTTGAAGGTGCATAGAAATTTAAACGTCCGTAATTTGCCATTGTTATTTATATAAAACTTCACTAGCGTGGTTCACTTATTCACAACTAAGTAAAAATTGTGACGAATAAGCGAAACAAGCAACCACTTATATGCTCGATTGACAAGTTAAATAATTCAGTAATCAGTAAACCGCGGACAGTGGGTCAGTCAATCCACCAGTCAGTTTGGGTGCGTTCAAGGTATTACATCCCATAGTCTTACCTGCTCTTCCATTTTCTCAGCGAAATATAACTCAACTAGTTCCGGCGTGCTGCTCACGTAAAGCTGAATTAGATAGTTGATGTCCTGCAAATTGTATCAAAAAGAGAATTACGTTGGTGAAGTGGAAGCTCGGCCACCTTTCAACAAAATATAATAAAATAGAGGTTACGAGATACTCAGTGCGAACTGTCACAATCCAAGTGCTGATTTAAAACATCCGGTTCTTGTGTTTGGATAAACACTCCAATCATTTTGGCGAATCCTAATGTTGGAAATGCTGAAACGTCCCCATGTAGTGATGGTTGGCAAAATGGATCTGTCCTCAAAAGTTTGAGTAAGTCTATCTGAAGCAAACTTCATCCAGCCAGTAAAACACCCGGGTGTCTTGTTTTCAATCAGACAGACACGATGTTTTCCAGAAATGAGGAGTCAGCTCGAATGTCCCCCTAAGGCAAGATTTTTTCGAAAAAGAGAAACAAAAATAGTGGAAAACCTGACGCCTTTCACAAGCCCATTTATATCATAATCTCTTCTTCGCTAAACTGAACGTTGCGTCCCCAGTGTTTCCAATGAGTATCCAAGCTCACTGTTCACTGACACTTTATCAGTGGGGTGTAATTTTACCTTTACGCACCACGGAGGCAATCATATCGAAATACTGTTATAAGTTGATGGTTTTTTAGTCATATAACCCGTCGACCAGAGTGGTCGAATCGGAATATGGTTGTATCGTGCATCGCATAAAGGCTGATTTGGTGACCTGAAGTTGGTTTCGAAGCCGTGAAATCTACGTCGAATGCCACTAAACCTAAACACCACGTTTCAAATTTAACTCCTTTACTTTTTCTGTAAGTATGCCATTCCTGATGGCAGTTCGTGGATACAGCAGTGACTGTGGTGCTACAGGAGCAGGTCGCACTGCGCAGTCCTTGTTTAGACTAAGTAGAGTGACCTGCTGTGGGAGGTAGAAGCAATGTAGTGTCTTATTTCGGCTCATATAACTGATACTAACGCGTTACTAAGCAGAATGTGGTATTTAATACCTTGTAGCATTTATAACAAGGGCGTTTCAAGCCGATTAGTTTACGTAATGTTCCTTCGAGGTATCGCGTTCTTGCACAAGAAATTCGGGTTATTCGTTCAACTGAACAGATCTATTTTTTCATTCCTGGAAAATGTACGCTGCAGATGAAATCTTCCGAATAACCCAGACACCCGCTTGTATTCTGTCTTGGTTAACAAACGGATTTTCATTTCCGCCCTACTGTCGGTGGTTCATTTTCATAACGATCGTTTTTAACTGTGTACTGCATGGCCCCGAAGTTGCACTGTCAGTAACACGCGTTAGTCTAATTTTTCTCTTTTAGTTTCTATACGGGCAGTCTTAAATATTCCGACACTGTCACCTACAATAAAATATGGTCCGGCCGAAGATGTGACGAATACACAGTCAACGCTCAGGGTAGATACATTTAGGATGTAGGAATTTCAAATATTGACAGACCACGAATGAATTTGTTTCGAAGACATCTATAGTCAGACATCAAAGACATAAAATGGCAGCATCTTCATTTCGATCCTGGTTTGTATTTACTTCGGGATTTCCGAGGTAGATGTCGATGCTACACGTCAGTGGCAAATCAACTGCAGACCATTTATTTGCCGTGTACTGAATCTAAATCCCAGGCACTCTGAATGCATCCATAATTCGAAACAAATCCATACAGCGATTGATGATGTAATGAGCTGTCAAGGAGTAAGTCAATCTTTGCACTGCCATAAATGCTGCATAGATTTAGGGGGATAAATATGTGACCCGTGTAAGTGAACGTAAAACAAGGTCGAGAGTCATTTAGACGGGAGGCTGTTCTGAACGTAGTTTATATAAAAGACCTCATTGTTGTGACAGACTGTGGCCATTTTAAATATAACCTCTTAAGCATCGCTTAAAATAGGGCATTGTACCAGCCAGCAGTACCTTCCACTAATGAGCTTATAAACATTAATCGGCATATTTATTTGGCCACATTTTTTTTTCATCATTCTTTGTCTCAGGTCATGATAAACTGACGAAATTAGTACGTCGGGATTTTAATATCGTGTGTAGAAATAAGCGAGATTGTACTTGGACCAACGATCTGGTATTTTAAACGGGCAAATGTGTTCCTGGTGAAGTTTATGTCTGAATTTTCAAAGACAACTAAATCCCAAATTTTCAGCACAAAATACCGTCCTTTAGAATAAGTTATTATCTTAAATAAGAAACCTGACGTTGATGAACCTCAACTTGTGAGGTGAGGTGCTTTCTATATAACGTTCTTTATGTGACAACTTGCAAAAATGGATTTTTATTAGTCAGAACAATGTGCCCACCGTGCCAACGTCTCATTAATTTTCCAGTGTTTGATTTACCGATGAGGTGTAATAATTTATGTTGGAGCCAGAAAGATCGTTAGGTGCGTTGTCAGAAACTTAATCCGTCGATCCGAGAGTTTCTCAGTGACTTACACATAGAGCCACATTCAACTACACCCAAAATGAATAAGTTTCTATTGGGATTTCATCCCGTAATTAAAGTCAATCTATGCTAAAGAGCCAACAACTGTACGGCTGTTTCAACCTTACTGAGATTCATGAGCAACGCACGTTCTTAGAAACCCTGGTAGCTTTTAAACCCCCCACCATTGTGTAAACCTAATAGTTCGGCCACAAGCGGCTGATTGGAAATGTGAGTAATCCGCACTCGACAATTTTCGCCACTTTGATGACTCTTACACGAAAAATCCAAACAAATATCTGCCCCGTATATCACTCGGCCACAGAGAAAAATATATGTTACGAGGCTAGTTTGAACGATTCTCCGACGGAGAATACTTCAATACAACAAAATATTCAATCAGCAGAAGTAGACTTAAGTTGGGACGATTTTATATTGGTTGAAAGACAATGCTCTTTTCTGATATCGGTGATCCCCTTTCACAGCGTAGAATATGGTGGGAGCTATGCACGCGTCGTGGTTGGATGGCACAAATAATCGTTTTGTTCCGTTTGACATGATGCGCTGCGAGCCAACAAATGTTTCATGATTGCAGTTTGTCGAGAACTGTCACCTGTGAGTAATCAGTGAGACTCTGAAACTCTGAAGCTGGGCTGATTACCAATCTCGGACTCAGTATATCCTTAGGCACAACGACGAAAAAACCTAACCGTTTCCAGCGACCTTTCATGATGAAATTTTACTGTATTATTTCCAAATCACATAACAACTGTTACATAGTTTACATGAGGTCGTTTTATCAAAAACATGATCACAAAATGTTTGTAATTCAACCCTGAACGCACTGATAATATCATCTTGACATTTGCAGCAACCTATCCAATTCATTGGAAGAATCAACAACTAAGTTTTAAATGTTTTATATACGGAAAAACGTATTTTTTCAAATTCACGGCACGCTACATCTCTTTAAGAAATTAGCACAGATGTTGGACAACTACAGTCGCCAGTTAAACCGAAACTATCTCAATAAATGGAAAACCAACTTAACCAGCGGCCATTTATTTGACGCAATTCTAAATACTGTACGACCAATGGACCAAGCAATGCGGATTTCATCATTTGATTACACATGATTATACTAAAGTCGGTTTGCTAGGATTCCACCTAGACCATCATGCAGCTAGATCGTTTTTCTTCCGCGGCACGCCGTTCACTCTGTCTCATTTTTGTCCAGTGGTTGGAGCCAGCCGCATTTGATGCAGCGCACCACCAAATTTGGTCATTAACGGAGCAATCACATTTACGGTGTTTTTCTTCACTCATCATACTTGTTCGATGATGAAGCACCTGTGGTACCAAACTCTGCACAAATTTCATCCGTCAGACTTTAATAGGGAGAAAACCCCACTGTGAGTCTAGCTTTCCGAAGCTACAAGCATGACTCACTTGGTATGTTTCATTCTCCAGCTCATATTTTTCCAGTAGCCCATTGGTGGTCCGCATGAAAAATTGTAGCAATAGTTCGGTGGCATGCTTGAGTTTTAGCAGTGTAGACTTTGCCCTCAATACAGTCTCAGGATCAACTAAATTTGGCGCGTCGGGTGACTGGGATTCGGTAAAATGTGTGGACAGAGGTATAACAAGTGTGTTCGGTGTCGAAGCTGAATCTGGTGGGTTGAGATATGCACCCGGTCCGCCAATACCGGGAGCCACCTCGGCTTCTTTATGGGCTTGTTCGATAAATTGCTCCAGACATTCTGACCACAACTCCAGGTAGCAGCGTCGTAGAAGTCCAGTAGACACTTGTCTACGTAAAGTGTCAATGTTGGATTCTAAATAAACCAGCAAGTCATTCAGTGCCTGAAAATAAAGAAAACAAGGCACTCTAGGGTCTAAGTGTCAGAAGCTTTTGCAGGATATAGTAGCTTTCCTCATACTAGTCAGACATACAGTGGTACCTTTCATTATGACCGCCTCGAATTTCGACAACAATGTTCAAGGAGAGGGGTAATGCTTCTGTTGTGGATCACGCCTTATTCGTCACAGAGGCTCCCGAAAAGCTTTCCTTGTAAGCCACTTTTATCTTATGGTATACTGCAAGACACGGCTTCAACAAGTTCTAGTTTCTCAACCCAGATATTTCTACAGGCGAGGAATTTCGCGCACTACTTGTGTAAAGCGCGAGTAGTGTCTGGCAAAGTGCATCTGGCGAAAATTGGTAAGAAACCTACGGTCAGCTTTGCAGTGTTTGTTCATTACAGTTGAGTATTCTTACAACATTCACAAAAGCTCAAGAGGATGCTTGGTGATACTCTTTTCTTCTGAAACTTTGTGCAAATGGCGTCTTCAGTTTCATATCTAATACCTAGTAACTACTTATTTCGTGTTAGTCAACAAACAGTCCTTTGTTCACAAACGCTCCATCTTTCGCGAAATATTAGTCCCAAATAAACTGGACTAAACAAAGATGGGCTATTCGGCAGACATGTTAGGCGACACGCCTTTACACATATTAACATACACATATGCACATACCCATCGTGAATACTGACGCATCGGTAAGCAGGCTGAAACACGTGGGATTCTTTGAGATATAGTTCTGTACCATAGTTTCACTAAATTCGGGTAATAACGAAGACGTAGAGGGACCTTAGGATAATTTTTTCGCGCAAATCATCCTACCTTGTTTGGACAATCATGGTGATTGAGTTTTTGAGGTTAAATAAAAACGGCGAAGTCTCAGGCGCCTGCTCAAAGCGCTGCGTTTGAAAAGAATGCGTAAGAGGCGTGACCGCATTTGCGTTGATTTCTCTCTGCTTACTGGCCTTGTGTGCGCCGAGTGGCAGTTCACGACACCAACTTAAACATTTAATGGGGTTCATCGACACCGTCTTGCTTTTCACAAAAGATGATTTTTCTTCTCTTTAGAGCTGGCTAGCTTCTAGTGGTCTGCTTTGTCCCAAAAAGCTTACTAACTGGGAATGGTCAGTATGTCCTGTTGTTTACGGGCTAGTATCTAGCACCCGAACATTTAAGCAGTCATCCAAAATGCGCATAGTTGATTACTGTTCAAGCCAATGTGTCTTGACTTAGAAGCACTGGGTAAAATAGTCATTTAATCAGGGGACCGACCAATATTATTAGGAAGTGGGAGATTTTGCTGTTTGGTGCGTTTGAAACAGGACTAGAAGTATCCAGTTGATATAAGGAAGAAACGTTCATAATGGTCGGGTAGATAGAAAATCCCATTATTTTGAATTTTTGATAAACAGGCATACAGATAATGAACGTGGGATTTTACAACTGAATGATGCAAGTGCAGTAGAGGACGTTAATAATCACCGGATGAAATACGAATTTTACTACGTTATACGTCGTTACTGCCAAGCACGGGGACACTACAACTCATTCGCTGAGCCCCATGAATCCCCTTCTTCATGTGTGACCAAATCATTTGATCGTCAAGAATTCTGTAGGGAAGCTTTTTGACGCTGCGGCACATAAACCGGTAGAACGAATCATCACTTGCCACAGACAGGATTGATATAATTTCCAAGAAATACAGAACTTAAGGAAACGTTGCCATCGACTGCAAAGCAGCTACCACAACAATAGATTGTTAAACTCTAAAGGTACCCTCAGAAACAGTCATATGTGGCTGGAAGATGTCAAAACTTTTGTATTAGTTAATCCAATGATTAATGTGTTGCTTACCTTCTCCGTAGGACTGGTAGAGGCGCACCAGCATAAGTGATAAACATTCTTCCGGATTTCTGGACGCATCTAAATCAGAGAAGGAGTTTAGGCAGGTTGGAATCAATACAGTGAATTCGTATTTGGGTGTGCCTGAGTAGACTTTCTGATACTATCCTTTAGAACACTAACAGCTGGAATCGGCCTGGAAGCATACTTTGTTTCGGAGCGAAAGGCAAATGACGTCAAGCGTAGCTATAAAACACTCAGATTTTCTGACTGATGGTAGAATACCTCATGAGACAAATAAATGACGAATGCAGCCGGTGGTGGTTTGTTGCCTTTCTTTTGCAGCACTAATGCGCTTGCCCCGCTTTGCGTTTTGTGTACTTTTTGTGTTACTAGAACCAAAATTTTAATTTTCGCTAATAAATGCAAAGTAAGGTTTGAGGAGGCATTGAAGTCAGATGGCGCTGCAGATATTTGCTATAGAACAGTGGTGCACGAGGCCAAACATTCAGGCCGATCTTCTCAGTTTACCTATGTTTACCAGGTTGTATGAAACTTGTACGGGCTTCGTTTTTTCATTGAAAAAGGTGAAGTAGTGCATTGAGCGGATTGAGAATATCACCTTATGCTTAAAAAGATGTCACTTCTATGTCGGTCGGCTTTCATGGGGCAACATGCTGCTCAAGATACACATTCCCGCTCCAATCCGCTCAGCGGGTGTTTATCCTCATTTACTCTAAGAGCATTGTTAGTGAGGTATTGAAAGAAGCCTTAATGTTTACCCTTTAATGTCACCCTGAAAAAACTGCTTATGGGTGCATATATATGTAGATTTCATCCATACACTATTCAATTGTTAGCCTTTCATTGTTGCCTTATATATCTGCACTGCTTGTAAATTTTCAAAACCAATCACACTTTGGCAATGCTAGTTTGACTCAAAAATAATATGCCTCCAGGCCATCTAACATTCGGCTTGATTGCCAGCTGACTTAGCTTAGATAACTACAAAAATGGTTCGCTCTCTTTACCCATCGAAAAATCAGCCAATGAGAAAGCCATTGTCTTCACGACTCATTGAATGATAACTACAATCCCGGATCAGCAAAACCAATCAGAACAACTCAGTTGTGGGCTGATTGGAAAATACTCGGAAAACACCTTATGCCGATTTTATACTTTGACTTATCTTGGACAGGGTGCGATTCCCTCGGAAAGTCGATGCCATGGGAGATTGTCAGGTTCTCCAGGTCACAAAAAATCATATTCTTTGAGGTTTTCTCTATCTCATGGTGTTTGCTTTGGAAACCCGGTGTGATTAGTTAGCCACGCATGCCTACTTGTCAATTCGGGTGGGAAATGATCGCCTTAAACCTACGTTGTTGTTGGTTTCACTATAAATTCTGGATGTGCATATGGTCGTACCCATGTCGCACCAGGTTACCGATAAAAAATGCGTACTGTGGTGGGCGCTTCCGCGAAAATAACGACCTTTATTCATAAGCATTCAATTCAGAAGGGCCAACTAACCTGGAAGTATGCAACCTAATAAAGACTGTTTTATATGCGGACACAGCTACTGCAATTGCAGTTGGGGAACATGGGCCGTACAAGCGAACCATGCTTATTCAACTACTGATAAAAAATAATTATCATCACCAGATGTGCAGTGTACCGAAAGCCGACGTGAACTGGACGGTACCTACACAAGTTCTATTTCTAAATCCCATGGGGAGAATCAGTTTGTAACTAAAGTAGCTAGAGTCTAGCTGTTAGTTCGTAACATATTTGACGTCCACAGTGGAATAAAGTCGCAGCAATTCACATTTCAGGTAGAAGAATGCCTTCAAGTAAAAGATAGTAAGTTAGCTTAAATTGTAGGACAACAATAAAGGACTTCAGTTGGTTCTACTTAGGTGAAATGTGCATCTCGCTACCTCATTTATTCGGTCAACTGATGAATATGAACTGATGTTTGAAAAATCACCCTCGTCGACTGAGAAGATATCAAATTTAACACAAGCGGTCGGACTCAAAAATGTCCTTTAGAGTTTCCTTTGCGGCTTTCGTGGCTAAAGTGCTAGTGGATAAAAAGGCTATAATGATCAACAAATATTAATTAAGTTTGTTTGCACTCAATAGGGACCATCTGCTGATGCAAGGGTAAAATAATGTTCCAGGCTGTTTATTTCCCTTTTAATTTTTTGTGAACTCGTTGTTTTTAGTCTGCGGTCAGTGTGATACAAAAGCAATGTTGACATTACATGAGCTTTGTTTCCCTACTGCAAAAGTTAACTATGCGGTTTGTTTTGGTTTGAAGACCAGTCAATATTTCTGTTCGAATGCCGGTGTTCCAAGCATTTGTTTGCATTTGGTGGATGTTTATTAGCTAACTCCTTTGCAGTTGTGCTTACGCGGACAAGAACTTTCAACAAGTGTTGTTTAGAGTGGCTTTTTTCCAAACATCAACGCAAACTCATCAGTCGGACGCCATGCGGATTAATCATTATGAATTCTATAGATCTAGATGATTATCATATCTATGAACTGACAGATGATCCGTGCAATACACTACAGAAGTTGTGCTTACGCGGACAAGAACTTTCAACAAATGTTGTTTAGAGTGGCTTTTTTCCAAACATCAACGCAAACTCATCAGTCGGATGCCATGCGGATTAATCATTATGAATTCTATAGATCTAGAAGATTATCATATCTATGAACTGACAGATGATCCGTGCAATACACTACAGAAATTCTACCTACTGAAATGTCGAAAAAAAAGCCCATTATTCTTACGCTCATAGCATACAAAACACATAAAAAAGCTAGGGAGAGGAGCTGTTTCTGTCAGGTTTGAATAAAACATCCTGTTGCTCACGAGTCTATCCAGAAGAGTGAGGTTTTCTATAGGGGAAAATGTCGGTAGCTCAGGTAGCGCAGATGGTCGTTGGCTTGTTTGCCAAGCTGGGCAATTTGACTGCAAACGTTTCATCACAGTCGAGATGGACATCATCAGTGCGTTATTGTGGAGCGTAGTGGTGCGTAGCGGTTGGTTAGTAATTGTTCATGTTATTTTTTGGGGAGACTTTTTGATGCAGTACAGGGTATAAAGCAGTCTGCAGAATCGGACTCTCACAAGTTATTTGCCTTGGGTTTACAACAGTAGCGTGCGACAATCTACAAAACTACATCGTTTTGACCGGTAAAAAAATGTCCCGATTTACTTCCAAGTGGACCTTTCCTAAAGCATGTATTCTCGCAATGATCTTTTAGCAATAGTCACAGGGATCAGGTAGGCTGAATTTCAGTATAAAGAGACGACCCATAGCTCATATGAAAATGACAATCAATACAAGAAAACATGTCGTGCAAGTGGATCATCCTGTTCTCTGTCATTTGTCTGGCTTTCTTCTTATGGCATGGTTTTTGTGAGAGTGCCTTCTAGAGGACTGCATCAAACTTTCGAACGACCTGTGTGATCAAGTATATCTTCTACGGCAATGCCTCCGGCTATCGCCGTTACCACGGTTGACACCAAAAAATACTATATAGAGATGCACATTTTATTATCGTGTTACCTAGGAGCATCCATTCCACTGCAGTCATTTTTGGGAAGATTTATGCAGCCTATTTCCAAACTGGTAAGAAGTAATCCATCTCTGGCTATCTGACACAAGATGCATGGCTGAGGCGTTGCTATCACGTAGATGGGATGTAGCAACTGAAAGCTGAGAGGTCTAAGTGCCAAAAAAGTCATTCTGTAAATAAAACCAGCTATGCGACAGACATACCTTTGCTGTTACTCTGTAGAAAATGCGATCCAGAACGTGTCGGATTTCGATGACTCCCGAACGTTGTATTTCATAGAGTGCCTGTAAATCTTCTCTAGGGATCCGTTCCAAACGCGGCACAGTGGGACTACTTTGCCTGGCTTCATCAAGTAGACGAGATTTTTCCTCCGGTTGCCCAGATGCACAAGATTTACGACGAGACCAACCGCAGCTTTCCGGTATTGTCTGAGTCCAGATAATCACACGATCTAGGGCGCTTAACGCCATGCAGAGCTAAAGTGGAAGTAAAGTGCTTTCTCCACTACTCATGCAGTTAGTGACACCAAAAAAGAACCTATTAGTTTAGTCTTATAGATGCCAGTATACAAATAATGCAGTAAACCTAAATAAGCGTTTAATTTTGAAACTTGGAAAACGGGTCACTGGAATAGGCTTGTGATTAGCTGCGAAGAAAGAAAGCAATCAACGAAATTTGGTCTCGTCAAACAACACACGCGTCGATGATTTTTGTTCAATAAATCGTCGTCTATTTACCTCTGCGTATTCACTTGGGATCATACCTGGTGGCATTGGAAAAACTTAATTTTTCCCACCATTAAACAAAATAATCAGGATTTGGTTCCTTAATATCACAGTCCACATAACGTCGGTACAACAGTAACATTCAGATAAGCAGGTCACGCGTTAAAAAGAACCGTTGGTTCATTAAAAGTAAGGAACCATTGCTATTGAAATGACAGCTCACGATGCATGATAAAATATGGTCACACTATTGCACAAGAAACCACATCCAGGAAAAACTAACCTGAGGTGAAATATCGAACTGACCTTCCTCATCACAGTAACCCTTTAGACGAAGCTTTTCGTGCAAATTTCGGGCGTAGGATATTGCAGAATCGAACAATTTCTAGAAATTATTTAGGGAAGATAAGTGTATAAAAAATTCAAATAAAATGGCAGAAACAATGTCATGTGAGCTTGAGGCAACATGAAGAGCAACTCAAATGTTGCCGCCATTAAAAAACCATCCGGTGACTATCATCATCTTTAGTGCAGAAACCTGGGGATGTCTCGTTTGTCATGAAAACCTGAAGGAAGGAAACAAAATCATTTCCAACTAGCCATCACAGGGTCAAGTTCTGGAGTGCTAATCATGTAAAACTTTGGTATTGCTAGAGATGGCATTTGAACAACTTAGTCTAGGTATAATTGGCGGACAATATTCCATTGAATATTTCCGCGTGGGTGTAAGATCTGGTGAGATAACATTTTATTTGAGTTCCTAAGTACCAGAGGATGTCCATATTCACGTCACTTTCGTTGAAACAGTTGTTCTCCTGTCCTGGCGTCTTTATGTTAGTGACACCACATCGAAGGATCGAAGCACTCGACTCGAGCTTTGCTCTTATTAGAGCTCATCAGGAGTGCACATCCAATGGTCATGCTGGGGTTTGAACTCTGGAAACCTGATGTGCGAAGCGAGCGGTTACCACTACTTAACCAGAGCATGTTGGAAGCATCTAAATTGTCACGTCTGAAGGGGCGAACGTGTCCAGACTTGAGCGATGTGATTTGTATGTCCAACACATCATCAAAAGGACGACCCAGAAACTGTCCTGACGATCCATTGACCCGCCTGACAGGACACCCCAGTCGGGTAGGGCCAACAAATGCTTTTTGGCAAATGATTTTTGATGATCAAACTAATTCTGTTGTAAAAAGATTGGTTGGAATGAAAAATCAATCGTTGAGGTGATCTGGTATTTGAATGGAGGAGTTTAAAATTGACTTAGAAGGTGACTTTCTTGTCTATTACGTTTACAATTCGGTCAACGATCAGTCTAAGACAATCTTTGCTTTTTGAATAACAAGTGGACAGTAGATCTATCTGACAGAAGTCCGTGAGTAAAGCAAGTAGCGGGAACTATGGCATTTGTGGGGTTTGTTCTGTCTCCAGTTAGCCTATCTACAGCGGAGGCAACCGAGTCATCTGAGCCTAAAAATAATTTCACAGCATAATCATTGTGATGAGGCTTCAAAAAGATGCACACTTTAAAAGTGGCCGTGATTCTTGCACATTCCCAGTGAGTCAAAACTACATTATTACACAACGCTTGTTGCTTTTTCTGGTCAAATAATTAATAGCATTTGGTCAAACATCTGTCCAGTCTGAAAAATTCAAATTGCGCACAGGTGTGTTTACTTGCAACACAACAGTCGTATTTTCGGTTATCATTGACACTAATGAACCCAATGCCGGTTACCAAGTGATCAACGGAGAATGAGAAGGGAGTCGAGAGAAGAACCTATTCAAAGTAGAGCCACCTCAGACGAATTAAATGTCACTTTATGCAAAACTCGGGTGGTGTATCGCACAAAAAGCTTAAAAATTTCTCCCACCCAATCTGCCTGAGCTCAATTGCGAAAATTCAAATGTTCCGCCCAATCCTGCCTGCTATTCATTGATATTTCATTATTATCGCATCACCCCATTTCTATCTCATCCATCAAAACGTTGCGTTGCACTATGAACATGTTCTTGGTTCCTCAAAAGAACCGTATTATCGTTTGTTTAAATTCACATTTTTTACACTTTTCGAACAGGTTACTCACGCTTAATACTCGTCTTCGTGTATGTCGTTGGTCTAACTGTCGGTCGATAACTGTAAAGGTTTATTGTACATTAATTGATTTATTGATGTTTTGTCATATAGTACGGCACGCTTCCGTCGGGATCACTTTCGTTTTGAATTCGGATCCATTCTTTGGTGCTCGTTGCTCGACTCATCGGTTTTGACGCTTGCAGGTAGGACTAGTGAAGTATCCGCCCTTAGCGATTTCCTAAGTAGCAAGGTAGAAGGTCATAAGATGTGATAAAAATTTCTTCCAAATCCCCTGAATCTCGGAATAACCAGGAGTAGATTGCAGTATCTAATTTTGGTTTTCATACAACACAGTTCACTAAAATGTTGGAGCGATTGCTCGAAATTTGCACTCACAAATTTAATTGGTGTTTTGAAAAAGATGCGATTCCCATCTAGCTTACTGAGTTCCTAATGGTGTAATGGTCACTTTTTTCTAAGTTTATTGAAAGTTCATGTGGACCACCCAGGCGCATACTTGCCGGCATTGTTTGAAGTAAATCACAAAAGTACGGAGTCAAAACTAGATTTCTGAATCATGAGATGGAAGACAATGGTCGAATGGCTTTCAAAAAATCTTTTGACTAAAGCGCGTAGGGAGTAAAAGGTACTGAAAATGAATAAGCGAAACAGATCAATGTTGGTTGATAGGAATAAAGAGTAACTGTGGCTGATTTATTATCCGATGGATCTGAATAATTTGAGCACCACTGGTAAGCAAAAATATTTTCAGTTAGTTGGTCAAATCCCAAATAAAAGGCATAATTGTGGTTCTGAAAAATTTACATGAGTTGTCTGGACTCAACGGGCTTTATGAACGTTTACGGGGTAAACGATACTGTATATGTTTGGGTTTGACAAGATAAAGCCTATAACTGACCAAACCAACTTGAGGATCCAGTCAGTTCGCGGGATAGTGAAAATGAAAACTTTGCCAATATTGTCATGTAATCAGTAAAACAAATAAATTTAGGGATTTGGTTGGCTGAGGCACCCATTAAGTCAAATCTTTCACATACCTGGCCGGATATATTTTTGGACCACTACAGACAAGCTGATATAGATTTACCTGTGCACGCAAACCATAGGTTGAAAACCCACGCGAATTCACCTGCATCCAAGTTGAGACAAGAGAGTACCAACGATTTTCTGGGACATGAGCATTCCGTTTTAGGAGGTTTATTTTTAATTAAACTGCAAGTATGAGCGAACAATCTTCATAAAATTTTCTCCACAGAACATAGGTGAAAGATACTGGCGGGTTTTTATTTTTTTACAGACTTTCACCGAAATATTGAAACAAGTACGTTTTGTCGACATACAACCAAAGTTGAGATGTGTGCTAAAGTTTGCTCATGTATTTACTGCAGGTAGACTTACTTCGAGCACCATCTTGGCTATCACACCGTAAGTCTCTACACCGGGCCAACAGCATTCGATCCACGTGAATAACATCGCTCGCATGTCGTCCATTAGTTTCTGAGCTGAGGGTGAAATCATGGGTAATTCCTCTAACGTGCCGGGGGGTGAGGAGCTTTGTTCTTCACGAGTTCTTGAGACGACCGATTTCTTTTTACGAGGTGGAATAGCAAGCTGAATGAAGAATGGATGAAAAGTTAGTGAGTGTAGCATATTGATCTTCGGTCATTCACTACTACAGGGCTGGTGTACTTTGCAACTGGCGCTTTATGCTCAACTCCCAGACTGTTTAGCATCCACTTCAAGGGATACCCTTCGATAGTAAAAGTCTAAAACGGGCTGATGCACTGTCAGTGCTTAAAATTTACATGAAGAATAGCCACAGCGCTTTGACATACCAGCTGCTGACGAAAGCGCTTTGCAGTATTGGATCTTTAATATGAGACAGGTTTACGACCATCTGCTACTAAACAGAATACTCTTGTTCATAGAGAAAACTACTCACAAGGTTGCTGAAAACTCTTCGACAGCCCACGACCGATTTCACCTTTCCGTTTCGGGCTCATCAGGTAGGCACAGTCCCCGAGTTTCCGTCAAACTTATGATCCACTTGAACCCAAATTGCACTGTTTTCGAGAAATACACCCATCTGCAAATCAATTTGGTTTTCATGGGAGACTCAATTGAATCTCTCGTTTATGATGTCCTCCAGCTGAATGTGCTGCACACAGGCCGCTTCATGATTCAGTTGGCACGATATTCGAGATATCGCGGTATATTTTCATAAAACCAAATTGATTCGCAGATGAGTGTAGTTCTCGAAAACAGTGCAATTTGGGTTCAAGTAGATCATAAGGTTGACGGAAACTCGGGGACTGCGCCTA